TTTGGAAGGGTGATGGCCATTGCTAATGACATGCGGAATTGCGGAGAAGACATGGATGATGTCAAAATTATCGAGAAAATTCTACGGACATTGACCGAGAAGTGGAACTATATAGTGTGTTCCACTGAGGAAGCTAAGGATGTTGATGAACTTTCATTATATGCCCTTGTTTACTCTGGAATTTTGTAAACAACCGCTAGTCTTCCAAAACAAAGATAATTTGGTTACTCACGTGATCGACTAGATTGATCATAGGACATGTATTTAGTTTTGATGACTTATGGTTTTTGAATAGTAATATTTTCGAATATAATGTTAATTGGTAAGTAATTGTGAAACTATGCGAAGTAACAATAGGAAAGTAAAGAGATTTCGAGTGGAATGTAAAAGGAATTAAAAGAACTTTTGTAAAGATAAATTAACATTGAATAAACTTTGTGATTCATACGTACATCCTCAGAAAGTCTTTTCTCGGTAAATGTTGGTACTTTGAGTGAAATTGAGTATTTTTACATAATTTGAACACACTAAAATCCTAACACTAAGATTCTAATTTATACTAGTTCGACCATAATAGTCTTCTCCTAAAGAATGTCACGTTCGATATTTGTATGCCCTTCGAATCCTCTAACTTCCATTTGTCTTTTTGGATAAGATCAAACCTTTTGAATTCAAAATATTCTTCCTTCGAGGCGCTAAATCAACCAACATGATTGTCGAAGGATTCCTCTTCGAAACTTCAAATATATTAAGTCTCACTTATTCACAAAACTAGGACTTTCGTCAATACTTTAGTAAGATTAGACTATCCACGAGCTTGTCAGTCGAAATCTTCAAGAAATATTCTTATATCTCTTTCGACTTCCTTCATTTTTTCTTAACATTTCCACATTTTTGAAATTTCTATCTAACAAATCCCCCCCCCCCCCTCAAAATGAAATACTTAAAGAAATGGACATTTTTTGCGAATATTCAATTTCGATGTATAAGCCGTCATCATGTCTTCACTGCTGTGACGTCATGGTCATGATGACCCTCTTTTCAAACATCTTATTGAGACGTGCACAGTTCAATTTCTCATCATTACTACACTAAGTAGGATTAAATCATGCCCTTTTTCAAAAAGCAACCATCTTGTCAGCTGATCAAACAACAATATGTGTCCCACTATCTTCTTTATTAACAAAAATAAAGTGAACTGTTTGGTATTTTTCTCACTAAAAATAACCTTTTCTTCTTCAAATTTTTTTTCTTGCTCTCATTCTCCATAAACCTTGCAATTTTTCTTCAATCTGTCCTCTTCAAAAATCATTCATCCTCAAAAACTCTTCATCAATGGCGCCCTCCAAGAAGAAAACCAAATTTGCTAAGGATGTGAAGAACACAAAGGAAGTTGCTTCCATTCCTATCGCTCATGTAGAAAAATAAATTTTGTCTGGGAATCAAGAGTTTGTGCCAACACCCACTCTTTCTGCCGAACAAACACGCAATTTATGAATCCTAGGTAATTATTCATTTTACTCTTGCTAATGAAACTTTAGGATATATGGGTCCTATGGTCAATGTGTTAGCTGAAAATTTCGATGACATGGGAATAATAAAGTAATATGAAGAATGTCGAGAAGGGTTAGTTCTAAAAGAATATGAGAATATTTCATAAAGATTTCGACTGACAGGCTCATGGATAGTCTAATTTTGCTAATTATTGGCGAAAGGTCCTATTTTTATGAATAAATGGGACTAAGATATTTGAAGTTTTGACGAAGAATACTTCAACAAGTCACGTTGGTTGAATTGGCGCTTCAAAAGGAAGAAGGTTTTGAATTCAAATGGATTGATCTTATCCAAAAGGACGCGTGGAAGTCTGAAGATTCGAATGACATGCAAACATCGAACATGGCATTCCCTTGTTGACTGTTCCTGCAAAGCCACATCACTCTTCGACTTATTTGTAACTCTTTCAGTCATTCTTTGTTGAGGAGATTCAAGCGTCCCTTGAAGCTATTCCTTCGACAAAGTTGACATGTTATTCGACTCTTCTATGGCGACTATCACATGGTTGAACTTTGGAGCCAAAGATGTCAAGATCTTTGTAACCCTAGTGAAGAAATCTATTATGCTTTCGGTTTCTTCCATCTGAAGCAATTTATAAGTTCTTTTGTGAGTTTGTAACCTCACCTCTTTCACTTTTCAGCGCCTCCAAAAGACTTTTCCATAATTTCTAAAGATTCTTTCACAGATTCTACATCAATAACATTTTCGAAATCATTTGTACTCAGAAATTGATGAATTATAAATAGAGCTTTATAATTCTTCTTCTTCAATTCTTTGTGTGCAACCTCTTTTTCTTTTGTTGCGTTTTCTTTAAGCATTTCTAACCCTTCTTTCACAATATCCCAAAGATCTAGACAACATAACACAAGCTTCACCTGTTTGCACCAATTATCATAATTATCAATTTTTAGAATTAGAAGACTTGCTAAAAAACACTCATTTAGATGATTCACTGCCATCGTGATTTTCTCCCTTTGAATCGCTCAACCGACAGTTTTGTCATGGTTTAAAATATATTGTAAAATATTTTTAATAATAAAAATATTTAAAATATTTAAAACTTGTTGTATTTAAAAAAAATTATATTTACAAAATAAAACTTAAAAATAAAAAATTATATTTATATACATTTTAGTGACACGCACAAAATCGTAGAAATAAAGTTTACTAATTTTAACATATAATAACGGTAAAATTTTATCTCTTGTTAAAAGTCACAAGTGACATTCAATTTAACAGCACACTACGCTCCTTTATAGTGTTCTATGAACTTTTTTTTTAACTTCAAGCGTTAATACTTTTTATTTTAAAAAATGAGTTTACATATGAATAAAAGATAAACGTGCAACAAGGTTTGCGAAAAAGTCAATTCTTATAAAAAATTATATTTATAGATTTAAGATATACAATATTATTATTCGTAAATTTTTAGACTCTCGTTTAAAGATCAACTATTTATAGTGTTAAAATCAAAAGTTTCAAAAGTAAATGGTATAAATGCGTATTGATAGTTAAACCTCAGTATGCTAGCTTCCATTTAGACTCATTCAAGCATATATTGATCAGCACTGAAAATTTGATCATTTGTAAATTATTTTCATATCTATCTAGATATCAATCATTTTAACGTCGTCATTCACCTCATCCGGTTTAGCATCATTATTCACCTTGTTTGAAACCATTAAAACAGTTTTAGGAAACATATCGAGGTGCACCATATCTAAAACGGGCAAAAATAGAAAATTTGTTAATACAAAATTTTGTTTTATTTTTATAATAGAAAGTTTTAGATATGCACATTTAAAATATAGTATGTGGGTTTCGGATATGCATATCTGAAGTGATACTGTTTTTTTCATCTGAATCTCAGCATCAATGTAAGAAAATAAGAGATAAAAAGAGGAAAGTTTAGCTTAAATTGCAGCTTTCTATACTCTCTTTGATATGATAAAACACTTGAAACTTGATTGGAGATGAAAAGTTGATTGAGAATGGTTGAAGTTTTATAGTAGATTTTGATTATGGAGGAAATAAAGAGAATGAAATAGTGTTAAGGGTCATGGAACAAACTGAAATAAAATAATATTTTCAGATATACATATCTGAAAATATCATTAAATATTTAAATTCAAAGTTTAAATAATAATAACGTATAAACATAAGGATTTTCAAATATACATTTCTGAAATACCTTAAAAATTGATTTAGAGTTATTCAAATATACATTTTTGAAAGACATTTTATTTTTATAAAAATTTATTAAAAAATTCTCTTTCTTTATAAGACAAATCTTTTTTCATATTATACAACAAGAGGAAGTAATAGTCAATTAAACTTATTATTTTTATTTTATTAAGTTGGTTTATGAGGCTATTGTTTAGTAATTTTGCTACCTACTGGTTGGTGTTTTTTTTTAGATGACGAATCAAATTTTGTTTAGTTATTTTGCTACTTAAATTAGGACGATTGCTAAATTGGAGCATGTGATCATCATGACATGACCCTTCGTCCTATTACTGGGTTCTTCAAAGTGTTGTTTTTCTCATGACTAAAGATTTTCTTATTTTTTTTAAAAGAAATTAACAATTTATTTATATGGTTTTTATTCATAAATGTTAGTTAACTGGCATTTGTATAGCATTACTATATTAAATGATATAATAATAATAATAATAATAATAATAATAATAATAATAATAATAATAATAATAATAATAATAATAATAATAATAATATATTTAATTTTAAGTGTTGCCATGATAATGATAAATTAACAAATTACTTATAAAAACAATCACTCATTAGTGTAATATTATTGTTATAATAAAAAATGATTTAGTTCAATGGTAATTGACATTAATCTTGATATATTAAGATAAATAATTGGGTGAAAACTTATTGAAACTACATTATCCTTATTATTATAAGGGAACAGATATATTTACACTATGTTTAACAACTACACCGGATTAGTATGCATAAAATATACTACTTTTATTTGTTTATTAATTTTTCTTTCTTTTGTTTCTGTTCAAGCATTAATGAGTTTATATATATATATATATATATATATATATATATATATATATATATATATATATATATATATATATATATATATATATATATATATATATATATATATATATATATATATATATATATATATATATCCTTCTGTGCAAGCATTATGAGTTTATATAAGAATAAAAGATAATCGTGCAATAAGGTTTGCGAAAAACTCAATTCTTTTAAAAATTATATTTATGGATTTAATAGATATAACATTGTTATTCATAAGTTTTTAGACTCTCATTTAA